TTTTTTATTTTAATAGAATATAGGGGTTTTTTATTCCGATATTGTTTTGTTTTCAACCAACACAATATCACAACAAGACTATGAATGAAGCCCTTAGAGCAGGTGAAGATAAAGGAGTAGGAGTAGTAACATGGAGTTGAAAAATGAAGCCGTTTTTTTCCAGGTATTTTGGCCCGAAAAAAATTGTGGTATAGGAATTGGATAAACCGATAACGCCATCATTTAATAACACGCTGTTAACTTGTTATGAATTAAACACTAAGTAAGAAATAAGAATTAGAAATTAAGAATTAAACGAGTTGGGTAACACCGGCCTAGCTTTTTACATTCTCACAGGCAAAAATATCGATCCATTTTCTTCAAACTACACATAGGGTGACTCCGGACAAAGTTTACTCCGGATTACCTTTCGGAAGCGTTTATTAGTTTATTTTGAATAATCCCCCATTGTCAGGAACTGTATTTTGTTGTTAATTATTGATTATTTTGTTTGGTAAATTGGCCAGAGGTCACTGACCTTATAGTAAACAAAAATCATCATGACAAATAAAAATCCCTTTTATCGTTTTCGTACTTTATACTGTGCCGGATTCAGTACTTTCTTTGTCTAATTCGTATTTAGACAAGAAAACTTGGAAACTTCATGTCTCGTTTTATTTTTCATGTCAAAAATAGGGCTGCACCAAAGTCGATTCACAAAGCGATTCTGATATTTATATGTCTTCTTTTTTATTCGATGTGTTAAAAAAGAAAAAAAAAAAAAGATTCGTTTGGAACATGAAAATTTGGCAAACAGTGATTTTTGATTGGTGCAAAAATATGGCGCGGAATTCAAATAATCTGCTTTTTTTTCTTTTAATTTCTGCCTTCAAGATTTAAAAAAAAAATATTAACCAACCATATGTTATGTAGTATATAAAATACACTTTCGTTACAGATAAATTATATAGGTACCTAATTTTGATTGAGTGCAAGAAGTCCATTGGACTTAATTGATCTACCGCGAAACACAATCTCCGGGGAATGTACAATTTGAATGTAAAGTCATTTTGTGCACGAGAAAAAAGGTAAAGGAACATAATCGAACCATTTTTTTCTCAGTAACTTATCCTTTTGATTTGCGACCAAAATTTCAATCACGTCTTTACGATCTAAAGATCGCAGATTTTTTATTTATTATTAACATGAAAATAAAACCTCCGACCTTGATCATTCTTCTGTACATAATTGTGGCTCTTTGAACTCAACTTTAAAGACACAAAAAGGGAATTTCCCTTGATAAATAAACTACACAGATAAATAAAATCCACGCAGAAGAGAACATATTTCGAAAAACTATGTCGAGAAAACCAGCATACTGAACAGCTGCCGATCGTGCAGAAAGAAGATTTGACATAGAATTTATGCGGCATAAGCAAAGTAACACTGAAAAATATTACACTCAACCAAATAGTAGCATAAATAAAAAGAAGTTGTTCTTTGATTTAATGAACAATTCATTAAAATCGGTCCAAAGAACTGCTTCTTTGATCACATGAACTCTACGTTATTAAAGGAAGAACAATTTCTTAATTCCTAGTTCGATTCATCTTGTGTATGAACAACGAACATTGAAGTATGTGGCAAGATTTTTGTATCAATGAAACTTTCCATATTAACAATGAACATCGTTCTTAGTTTATATGTACTTTTTCATTGGCCTGATGAACAGACGGCATAATATTTATGAAGCCCAGATATAATTCGATGAAACCCTTTCATTGTATTTATGAATCAAAGTCTTGAATACTAGGAATTTCATTCATTGTATTTATTAATGCCGTTTTCAATAATATGTACCCTATTCTTTATTTTTATTGAATTATGCCTTAAATATACTTATGATTTTAAATGGGGTACAGGGTCATTTTTTATATTTGCGTGACCCCTGTAGTGGTGAATATGAGCAATAGGAAAAAAGCTTCTAATGCAGAAGTTGTATGATTTCTTCGTATCATCTTCCAGAATTATCAAACAAACCAATATGGGCATCCCAAAATCTGAAAATTCAAAAATCTAAGTACTTATGTATTTTTATTTCAAATGACACTTACTGTATATTGTACTATCTTTGAAATCCTCCTTAAATCCTGTTTCCATAAATATATAATACTATGTCTATGTTTGTTCCAGCTGTTTTTGAACTATCAACATCCAAAGTTTCAAAAACAAGCCACGTCAGGAAATTAGATTTGATGTCTTGGCTGGTTTCCTTGCCTCAGCTATGAAACACTAGCTACGGCATTGAATCTTGTGCTTTTCCACCTAGTGAAACAAAACCATTTAACAAAAATATATCGATGAAAAAAATTACAACTTGATTTGAAATTGGGTATACTTACTTTTAGAGACTTCAGTATTCCTTAAAAATTCTGAGGAGCTCTTGACGCTCTTGTCTTTCACGTTCTCCCCGGATGACATTAAAATCTGTAGGTCATTTCTCTCGCATTCCCATTTTGAGCATCAAAGTCCTATCTACATAATAAGTATACATATTATGGAGGTAATAAATGTATACAACTTACCTTTTAGAAAAAACGGCGACAGGTATAACCGACTTTCTATTTAACACCTCGAACAACACAAGACCGAAAAAACTGACTAGAACGAAGTACGTAGCAATGCATCCAGAAAATAGAAATGTAATCATTCTTAATATTTTAACATATTTTTCTATATCGTTGCCCGACTGCAGCTACCTTAGCGCATGTGCTTAGGAACTGTGTACATTAATGCCATGAACTGTTCATTGTATTTATGATTTATCTTGATCTAATGGTTACAGCTTTGTTTCTAGGAATATTAGCTTGTTTTAAATGAACCGTACATTGTATCAATGAATTTCTTTCTTAAAAGGATAAGTTTCTAGTAAGGCTATATGAACCATATTCATATTATTCATATTAATATTCATTCATATTATGAACATTCCGTGGAAGCTCCATCAAAGAAATTTTCTTTAATATCAGGGTTTGATTTCATAATATCAATGAACTTAGTTCATGTAACCGATGCACTATTCAACATAGATTCATGTATCTGACTATTCATAACTTACTGAAGCATCATTCTTTATTCCAATGATAGCTGTTCATGAAATCATGATACTTACAGTTTTCTGTACTTAGGATTAATGAAAATTTCACTGAATCAATGAAAATGTAATTGATGAAAGCAGTTCATTGATATTATGATGATTTTTTTGAGTGTATAAAAATAAAAAAACCGAAGCCCTGACAAAAAGCAAGTAAAATCTTGAAATACCAGAGTACTTTATTACACATATAAATACAAACTCTTTGCAGAAACATCATAGCAGATCAGAAAATTCCAAAAGAATGGAAAAGCAACATATTGATCCCGATATTCAGAAGAGCAGAAAATAATCTCAAAGAATTTCATAGCAGAATCCACAACAACGGAAAAAAAAGTGCAGAGAGGACAGATTTACTTGACAACTGTCCATGTTATACATGCAGATATGATACAAAATGCAATGAAATGCGATTATAAACATTAACCTAAAAGTAAATTACCTACTTCAGCTTCACCTAGTAAGAGAAATCAAAATTAGAATATGATAATCGATAAAGTGAATATATAATAGAAAAATAATCATCACGTTTAAAGCTAAACTTAAAAGCTTCACTAAACAAAGGTTGAAAAGTAGGGTTGCTGAAATGAGTGAGACGAATGAGTGATTCTGGGCACATCAAGTGAGGACACTCAACACTGTTGTTGTCTATCTTAATCAGCAGATGTAGGTGGCGGATATTTCTTCTAAATGACAAAGTTAACAAGTTAAGATTGGAACACAGGCCAGCATAGTTAATCTTCACAGCATCGCCAAACTTGAAGTTAATATGCGTATGAAACCGTTTCTGCGCCTGTTCAATTTCACTATTTGAGTGTTATAGTTAAGATTCCATACACATGAAGCAGATTCAGGATGAGTCCTCACCAGAGCACAGTGAAGTATCTTAAGATAGTAGACCTTTCTCAGTGATTGACTAACAATGCAAGAAATATGTGGAGCCAAGGAAAGTCACGCCAAGGTGTCTTAACGTATCGACCACTGAAAGGGGGTGGCCATCTAACATGAAGGTACTGAAAATTCTTACAGGATCGCGATCTGGAAAACAGGATAAATTTACACTTTGGGATATTTAGTGCTATCCGGTTCCTACTACACCAGAGAAGCCTTATTCTTGAAACAGGGGAGCAACGTTTCCGGAAGAACGAGTGTTCCATCTTTGTTACTTATATTATCATTTGCATATCATTGAGAAAGACGGAACACTTGTTCTCCTGAGAACACTGCTCTCCTGGTTGAAGAATGAGGACCCGGGGGCAAATCTGTCTAAGTCATCCTGAAAGTCCAAACAATCCCCAAAACTATTGATCACTCTAAACATCTTCATGTCGCCAGCGAACGCATCATTAATAAACAAGTTAAAGAGAAAACTCAGACCACTAAGGCGTCGGTTTTTCAAGTAGCTCAATAGAAGGCCGTAAATTTCCAAGGCATGCAGCTTACTCAACAATATCCTTTGAGAAAGTTGTTGTAGATGGACTAGATGGAGTGGCCTTCAGAGCCAAGGCGTCGTACAAGTTAGGTATTCATAAACGAAACAAGTTCACTTCAGTAGTGCAGCTTACAAAAAAAACTTCTCATCAACGATGAAAGGCTTCAATGTATTTGTAAGATAAATGTTGATTAGCCTTCCAGAGATGTTGAGTATGACTGATTATGCTTATCGACCGATTGTTTTTTAATCCCCTGAACCTCAATCATGAAGTGATTTCTCCACAAAAGTTTGCTACAACTTGTATCAAAACAATGGCATCTTGTCTTATTTTGTTTTTTATTAGGTATCCATAAAAGACGATAATTGAAAATAGGTACCTACCTATATGTTTCAAATTGAAAAAAAGTAATGCTAATAATTGTTAATACTTACACTCTCCCAAAAACACCTTGTCCTATAAGATCTCCTAAAGTGTATCGGTCACCAGGATCAGGTACATTGTCTAATACCTTCATTTTGATGAATTTAAATTTAAGAATTGCGACGAAATTTTAGTGGCTGCAATAAAGAGATGTATTAAAGCATATTAAGTTGAGCTATGAAGTAATAAAAAAATTTAGTTCAATATTTGATCTAGAAATAGGTTTGGCATAGAATTAGAAAAAAAAAAAGATAAAAACATAAAAAGGCAAACAATCAAGATTTATGTGGTCATCGTGACATTCTTTCTAAAATAGGTTAAAAGAAGTAAAATAAAATCATGTATAAATTAGTCAATTAGTTGTAAAAGCCGCGCAATTAAAGAGTCCTCTCTATCTGTGTTAACGACGAATCGTCGCATTCTGCATATTTTCGCATTGAAAAAGGTATCGGCTAATTGGCCGGCCATATTTTGAATAATTGCGCCGTTTTCCTTCAATTAGCAAATTGTTCGCGAGAGATAATTGCGACGATTTTTCCATTAATGGAGCAAAGATGTCGGTTTATCGGGAATCAGCGGATTACGGTGTAAATGGAGTAGTTATGTCGTTATGTAATTTGTGAGAATTTTCTTCATGCCTACAGTGGTGACATGTTGGTAGGTGCAGTGGGAAAAACAACTTTTGTCTAGGATTTGCAAAACTGGTTAATTTAAATGTTTCTAGAATAGACAATAAAAAACAAAGAGATAAATCTTACCTATCTCAGAAAAACTTTGTAGTTTTCTGATTAAAAATCCAAAGTATGTAGGTACTAACTTTTAACTTCTCATATCAATTACACACTCGATTCCGAGAAGGTAGACTAATTACTATAAAAGCGTCGTTTTTGCATCGGGGCCGGGTCGAAATGCCCTCTAAGCTAATTATATAGAAGCCATTTAAGGCTTTTTAAATGGGATTTGGATTAAGCTCTCGTATGTTTGTGTGGTAGTGTATGCAGAACATATCGATTTTTTATAACAAATTGCATTAGATGTACTAATTAGGTTTCGCCTACAAGAAATTAATTGCCTATGACCTTCTCGACCTAGCTTTAGACATTTTAACTGGATAATATACCTACATATATGTGTTTGAGCTTATATGCTTAATATCCATCGAATTAAAAAACATTTCTCATGACTTTTGAGTTTTTAGTTTGTTTTGGCGTCAAAACTGAAAATATGGTATTGATTAGGTAGGTACCTATATCCCTATACCAAGTACATAATTGACTATGGGATTGAATCAATATAATGGAGTCCCAACAAAGAGTTAAAAGTTTAATATTTCGAATGGTTTAAAGTTAAGATTGTGTCCAAATTAAAACTGTCCATAATCTTGACGAGCGCCTTTAGGATGATATGTTTAACAGTATTCAGCACTGTGGTTCTAACGAAAAATATTTTACAGGTGTTCTGTGGAATTTCTCAATTTTCCTACATATATGGTAGGTCATCTTCTATATTCGGATGTCATAAGTAGGTCTGTTAGAAGAAATTTGCAAGAAAACTAATATGCATGTTTTGTGTTTAATAGATGGATAGAATTTCAGTAGGAACATATTAAAATAGTGACATTATTGACCAAAGACCGTATACATATTTCCAAAAATTGAGAAAAGAGTTATTATATATGACTTACAAAAGTGAAAAATGTGATCATTGTAATTTTAGTAAGCAGAAAGTGAATATTTTAAACATAAAACTATTCTATAGAACCTAGGAGAATCGAAAAAAAAAGTGGACTAGGTGATGAATTCTGGACTAAAGAACTTCTAGAGAAGTATCAAGTATCCTTTACCAAAAAGTTAAAAAGTACTGTCAAGGCTTTGGGTTGCCTGACAGAAATCTTGGGTTCGTTGTTCGTTTCGTTTATTCCAAAAATCAAAGTCCAATTAACACAGCAATAATTTATTCCACCTAACATTACACTCTGACACTAATTACTTTCATAACTAACTCAACAATTAAACTCTTACAACTCGCAATAATCACTATTTAAATCGCATCACAGTCAAACTAAAACTTAACTTACAAGCTAAAACCCGTCCCTATATATATCCCTAAATCTATTCCTGTAAAATCTAGAACACACACGATAATCTTATTTCTCGATTATAGTAGAATAATTCGCTAGATTCGAGGATATTCGACATCGATTCTTGACAGCCTGGCGGACGCCTATTCTAGCAACAGCGTTTAGCATTATTGTAACACTGCCCTCCCCTTAAGGTTGATCGTCCCGATCAACTTCACGCCCATGATATTTCGCCAATCTGTCCAGATGTACAACTTTCATCTTACTCCTGGTGTTGCGCTGGACTCGATAAACCAAATCATTGATCCTCTTGATTATTTTGTAGGGTCCCTCCCATGCTGAGGACAACTTCGGCGATACTCCTTTCTTTCTAGCTGGATTATACAGCCACAATAAATCACCTTCTTGAATTCGGTCACTGGCTAGCTGAATATGGTCCGGAGCAAAATCATGGATACCCAGAAGTCGTGCCCTTACTTCGTCGACATAATCTCGGATTTCTTCCGTTCTTCTTCAGGTATCCCAAACATCAAATCGCAAGGTAACCTGAGTTCTCTTCCAAAGACGATTCTGGCTGGACTTTCACCTGTTGACTCGTGAACAGCTGCTCTATAAGCCATTGAAAACAGAGGCAAGTGTTTGTGTTGGGAATAGCGAAAACTTCTGGCCATTTACCGAAGTAATCCATGATAGCTAAGACGTATTTGTTACCACGCTCTGACTCTAGGAACGGTCCTGCTACATCTATCGCTATTCTCTCAAATGGAAGACCGACGTTGTACTGTTTCATGGGCCCCCGAGATCTTAGTTTAGGGCCTTTACTGGTAGCACAGATGTCGCATTTTCGGCACCAGCTTTTAACGTCTTCATGGTAGTGAACCCAGTAAAAACGTTCCCGAACTTTGTCCAAAGTCTTGTTAACTCCGAAATGTGCCCCTGAGGTTCCGTCGTGTATTTCTTTTAATACATCTTCCACTCGGTCTTTTGGGATAACTAGTTGGCTCTTAGTGGATTTCCCATCGGCACTTTCCCAAACCCTTTTGAGCAAACCATTTTATACGGCCAGAGAGTTCCACTGGGCCCACAACGCCTTGTAAATCAAGCTTTTGTTTGACACTTCCCCCCATTCTGGCCTACATTCATCATTTTCTTTAAGATGTAGAATTTGCCCGATGTCCTGGTCTGCCTCCTGATCTTCTCTCATTTGCTTGGTAGTCCATTTGTCATCGACGATCAGGCCCGTTCTTCTTACAGCTGGACTAGTGTTTTTCTCATGTATATCGATTCTTTAACAATGTTTGCAATCTTCTTTACATGGCCGTCTAGACAGAGCGTCAGCATTTTTATGCAGGTTTCCAGGTCGATGTTTAATTTGGAAATCGTATTGCTGCAATTTCTCAATCCATCTAGCAAGCTGTCCTTCAGGAGTTTTCATTTCTAAAAGCCATTTTAGGGCTGCCTGATCTGTTCAAATTAGAAACTTGCGTCCGTAGAGATACTTATGAAAATGGTCGACTGCTTTTACTACGGCAAGCAATTCTCTTCTGGTGACAATAATTTCGTACCGGCTTTGATAATGTTCTGCTGTAGTCCTCCACGACATGTTCTTGTGAATTTTGGATTTGTGAAAGGACAGCTCCAACACTGGTGTTACTTTCATCTGTGTCCAAAATCAACATGCCTTTGTGATCAGGATAGGACAACACTGGGCTCGTACATAATGCTCCTTCCAATTTTCTAAATGCGGAATCGCATTCTTGGGTCCAATTGAATGTTGATTTTTCTTCTGTTAATCGATGAAGTGGAGCAGCTATATTGGCGAATCCTTCCACAAATCTTCGATAATAAGAACATAATCCTAGAAAACTCCTTAGTTCATGTTTGTCGCGTGGTTTTGGCCAGTCCCTGACAGCATCTAGTTTTCCTGCCATAACTTGTATGCCCTCTTCGGATACCACGTGACCTAAGAATTCCACTTTCTTTTGAAATAGGAAACACTTATTGGGATTGAGTTTCAAGTTGGCATTCCGGAAGCGATCAAAAACTTCTTTCAGGTTATTGAGATGTTCTTGGAACGAATTTCCTATAATCATGGCATCATCCAAATATACCAGGCAAGTTCTCCATGTAAGGCCTCGCAAAACAAGATGCATCAGTCGCTCAAACGTAGCTGGAGCATTACACAATCCGAAAGGCATTACATTAAACTGGTATAGCCCGCTTCCGGTACTGAAGGCAGTTTTCTCTTTGTCATCGTCATGTATTGCCACTTGCCAGTATCCACTTTTGAGATCCAAGGTGGAAAACCATTTGGAGCCCGATAGAGTTGTTAGTGTATCGTCTATTCTTGGGAGAGGGAAGCTGTCCTTCTTGGTGACGTCATTAAGCTTTCGGTAGTCTACACAATATCTAAGACTCCCATCTTTCTTCGTAACCAATACTACTGGCGCGGACCATGGACTATTTGACTCTTCAATGATTCCCTCTTGAAGCATTTTATCAATTTGGTTTTCCACTTCCTGTTGCTTAGCTACTGGCATACGTCGTGGTGGTTGTCTAATTGGGTGTGCCAATCCAGTATCAATTTTGTGTTGAATTAAGCTGGTTCGTCCGGTTTGATTGTCCATCACAAATCCGTTTGCTTCTTTCAAAATGAAATCTGTGGCTTCTTGAAGTCTATCTGGATCGAGATGTTTCCATGATTTCGCCAAAGTCTGCATCAAGGTGTCCGTATCCAATTTGGATTTCACAAAATGTCGCTTATCTGGTAGGTCACAGTTCGATATTTGCTTCACTGGTTCGAGAGCTCCAATAATGTCTCCTACTTTTATTCTTACTGTTTCGGAAGAAACATTGGCAATTCTTATCATAATGTCTCCATTTGTTCTTACTAGAGTCTTTCCAACAAGAAATCTTTCTGGTTTATCTCCAATGAAATTACGTGTTAGCCCAACGCAGCACCCAGGGTTTGTTTCTAATCTTCCGCAAATGATCTTTTCAGTACTTCCAGGAATCCTATCTGGGGTTGTGGCCAAGATCTTAACGGCATCGGATTCTTCTTGTGTTGTTAGGACAATTTCTTCATTACCAAATTTAAGGATGTGGAAGGATCAAAAGAGAAACCATTTTGGCCGATCAAATCCATTCCCAAAATGAAATCATCTTCTATATCGGCGACTAATGTTTTGTGCCTGAAGGTGGTAGATCCAAAAGTAAGCTCAATCATACCTTCTCCTTGAATTTTTGCAGATTCGCCGGTGACTGTTCGTAGTGACAGATTTCTAGTGAGCGGTTGGATTGCTCGAGACTTGACTAATGTTCTTCTAATTATGGAAACTTCAGCACCCGTATCAAAAGTGATGGTTTTCAATTCTCCATTGATTTGTCCTTCGAATTTTAATCCTCTATAATGACTGCCCAATGATTTTATGTACACAACTCTGGGGCTTCGTCATTACTAGCCAGCATCCTCCCTTCTGTACTAGTTGGTTCCTGTTTGTTATTAGGGCTGGCGTCTCTAGACCTTGAAAAGCGTTGAGAATGATCCCCAGATGGAAAGGACATCCTTAATCAACAATCCCATTGCATGTGTCCAAGCTTTTGGCACCGGTAGCATTTTACTCGGTTTCTCGGTGTTGGTGTTTGTCTGGAATCGTTCCCCATTTTTCTATCTCCTAGTAACAGTTTCTGCATTCTCTCCATGAAATTACTCATTTTGGTTTCGAAGCTACCATCCTCTTTCGGCAATTATTTATCTTTTGAGTCTTCAATGGACACTGCTCGTACTCTGGGTCGTGAGGCACCAAAGATTGCCTTCAGTTCCAATGCTCGAACAAGGGCTTCGCTACTTTGCCTGAACTTAGAC